TCTCTAAGCTAAACAGGAAACAACTCTGTCCTCTCAAAGTTGTTGTTTTTGTTAATATGGTTGTTCAAAGTCGATAAGTCAGTATTTACAAATATTTTCATGTAGCCAACAGCAGCCTTAAGAACAATAAAATTAAATCAGAAAAATAGCCCGTGTGGAAATGAAGCTAGTTTACCCACAACTCTGCCTTTTTGTAAATACGTTTTTATTTCAGAGAGAGGAAGGGAGAGTGAGAGATAGAAACATCAATGATGAGAGAGACTCATTGATCAGCTGCCTCCTGCACGCCCCACACTGGGGATCAAACTCACAACTCAGGCCTGTGTCCTGACTGGGAATCGAACCGTGACCTCCTGGTTCATAGGTCGATGCTCAACCACTGAGCCACGCCAGCTGGGTCACAACTCTGCCTTTTAAAACAAAAAATTAGCAGCTTTTCTTTTCTTTTGTGACCATAGCATCCACACCCGCTGTGTTAGTTTCCTGTGGCTGCTGTAACAAATTGCCACAATCTTAGTGGCTTAAAACAACACACCTCCATTAGCTTGGAGCCTGGGGCCAGGATTCTGACAGGTCTCAGAAGGTGTCAGAGGCCTGCGTTCCTTTGGGGGGGGAGGCGGCGCGGGCTGGGGGAGAACCTGTTCCTGGCCTTCTCCGTCTTTGAGGGGCTGCCCACCTTCCTGGGCTCATGGCCCCTCCCTCCACCCTCAAAGCCAGTAATGAGTCGTCTGACCTTGATCCTCCTTGTCGCATCTCCTGCTCCAGCGCTGGCTCCTGCCTCCCTCTTTCACATGTAAGGACCCTGTGACCAGAGCACAGGCGGTCGGTGTGAATTGCTGGGTTCTGTGTGGTAGCTCCGCGTAGAGGCCACTGATGAGCAGCAGTGAGGGCTGTGGGCTGCCCTCCCACAAGCTCCCCTCGCCAGCTGGTGCCCCAGTGTGTGCATGGCGCAGACAGATGGTACCATCAGCAGGGACGCCGTCTGGGCTGGGCGGGGTCCTAGCTCTCTGGCATCTCGGGCATGAGAAGAGCCCTCTCCTTCCCCCCCCCTCCCCCCAGGAAGGCCTTCTGGAGCTGATGCAACAGCATTCTGAGCACAGGATTCTGGATTCAGCCCCCCTCCTGGTCAGCTTGGGCAACTGAGCCCTTAAAGGCACCTGGACACAGAACTAGATCGAGTCTTGGGTCCTGGAAGGATAGAGGGTTCATTAGAGGTGCCTGTATAATATTGTTGGCCAGCCCATGGATTAATCACACTTTAACACCCTAATTTCACACACACCCCAAGAAGGGCCCTTCTCATATCCACCCTTATTTTATAGATGGGAGCGCTGAGAGTCAGGGTGATAAGGCATTTCCTATATTTATTCCACCCAGGATCCAATCGATCATCTGATTCCATGGTCACGCCACGGGAACCAGGGCAAAATCCAGTAACATTTTTAATGCCCTTGATATGTATTAATCGACTGCCCTTCCACTTTATGCTCACACCTGTGTCTGCTCACTATGGGGCCCTAGCCCCCTAACTGACCATCTAAGGGTCATCGGTAGCCAGCTGGAACCCCAATCCAGCTTCCCCCAGCCTTTCTGCTGTATGGCCATAATGCTTACAGCAGAGTGTGGGGTTGTCTGCCCTTGGGCATCATGCATCCTTGCTTCTCTGGTTTGTATAGGTAAGTGGGAGGTGGCAGGTATCCTGCGTGGCTGCCTACATTGTCCCTAGAGGAACCTTATCACTTACAAAAACCCTGATCCTTCCTTCAACCTGCCCACCTCACCTGCCAATCAATGCCTATTGAGCGGTGACTCTGGGCCAGAACATCCTTCCCGGGCTCCGCCCTGGTCCAGTTCCCCAAGGCCATGTTGTTCCTTCTGGTTGTGGTGTGATCATATGTGAGTCAGTCACCGCCTCTCTGGGCCTCAGTTTCTTCATCTGTAAAAAGGGCGAGCAAGGGTTTGGCTGAATGACCCCGATCCTTTGTCGTTGGGAACGTTGCCAAGTGTAGGGATTATTGGGATCTCTCCTGGAGGGACAGCGGTGGGGATGGGGATTGAGTGTCAGCGTGAGGTGCCTGGCACAGAAGACCCTCAAATAAGAGTGAGACTGGGGAGCTTAAACACTTGAGTGTGGGCTGGACTTAGTGACTCCCGTCCACAGAGTAGAGAGTTGGGAAGGGAGGAAATTGTAACGTTACAGCAGAGGAACCTGGCAGACACCACGTCCCCAATGACCAAGTCAGCGTCGGCAGCGGTGAGTCGCGTGGAGAGCACAGGCTCCTGAGAGGGTGGGAGGAGAAGGTCCTTCACCTCCGTGGTCTTCTTCCCCGAAACCCAGAACCCCAGTCCTCTTGTGAGAAAACATCAGAAAAAAACAAAATCGAGGAACTTTCTGCAAAAAATCTGACCAATATGCCTCCAACGTGTCAAGGACAAGAGCAAGGAAAGTCTGGGAAATGGACAGACAACCAAACAGTGTGGCTTGGGTTCCAAGGTGGGATCCTGGGGCAAGGAAGGGGCGGTAGCATTGTAAATGGAGGCGTCCGGATCCAGCTGAGAGCTTCATAGTAACGTTCCAACGCTGGCTCCTCGGTTATGACAGACGCACCAGGGAATAGAAAGGGTTCGTATAAGGGGAAGCTGAGTGAGGGTATCTGGGTATCCGTATCATCTTTCACCTTTTCAGTAAATCCAAAATTATTCCAAAATTAAACATTTAATTTTTGTTAAGTGAGATCTGGGCCAACAAGCACAGGAGAGGATGTTCACCATCATTAGTCAATGAGAGACACGCAAATCAAAGCCACAAGGAGATGACTGGCCACTAGGATGGGCGTCACCAAAAAGACAGACAATCACAAGTGCTAGCGAGGCTGTGAGACATGGGGCTCCTTCAGCATTGCTGGTGGGAAGGCACAAGGGAAGGTGCAGCCACTCTGGAAAACAGATGGGCAGTTTCTTAAACAGTTGAACATAGAGTTACCCAGGAACCCCTCTCCCAGGTGTTTACCCCAAAGACAAGGAAATATCTGTCCCTACAAAGAGTTGTTCATGGGTGTCCAGAGCTGCCTCATGTCCATCAGCAGGTGAACGGGTAAACAAATTGTGGTCCGTTCACATACGGGAATGAACCATCTCTACCTGAGGCAACGTGGATGGATTTCAAAATAAGGATGATGAGCTAAAGAAGCCAGTCGAGAAAAAGAGAGGAGATACTGTATGATTCCATTTACAGAAAACTCTAGAAAATGCCAACTGATCTACAGTGACAGGGCGCAGATGAGTGGTTGCCGAGAGCAGGGAGGGACTGAGGAGGGTGGAGGGGGCCGCCCGGGAAGGGTTGCAAACAGGATCAGGGAATGTTTGGGGGTGATGGGTGTGCTCCCTCTCTTAATTATGGCTTCATGGATGTCTACATCTGTCAAAACATATCAAGTTGTACACTTTAAATATATGCAGTTTCCGATGTGCCGACTGTACCTCCATAAGGCTGTGTTTTGAAGGATGGGGACAAGGACAGCATGACCTCAGTCCCCCCAGCTGTGATGTGGGGTGATTGTGTGCCCTGCACCCCCTGAAGGCAGAGGCGGAGGCCCAGGTGAGCCTGTCCCCACGCCCTGAGTTCTTAGACCCAGGGCTGGGCAGCTGCAGGGCTCAGGCCACTGCCTCTCCGCAGAGGGGACCGTGGAGGGCCTTCCCCATGGTGGGGGATCCGCTTACTCCTTCTCCTTTTTCCTTCTTGAAGAAAAAGAAATGCATGATGCTACACGTACTTTGGGGATTTTCAACACAATTGTCTAAAAATAGCCTGGCCACCGCAGCCTGATTCCTTTTTAGGGAGGTTTTCGGCAGCCTCGCCTGTCCCGGCAGCCAGCTCAGGAAGTGGAGGCTCGGCCAAGCGGGCCTGGGGCAAGGGCCATGGACCGGGGCCGCGGGGACCCTTCCCCTGCTCAGGCCAGGCTCACCTGCTGCTCCCACCTCATGAGCCAGGCGCCCAGGAGCACGTGGTAGAGCAAGTAGCAGCCCCACCACTCCCTGGGCTGGGCCCACAGCCCCGGTGCATCTCAGCCCCCTGCTGCAGTGCCCTGCCTGGCTTCTTCCTGCCTCAGTTTCCCCATCTGAGGAATAGAGTCCTGCACTAGCTTGCCCCATCCCCTCTAGAGCTGGGCTATGCCCTCCGGTCCGAGGGCGTGGTCTGGACTTGGGAGCTGTGCGCGCCTGCCCTTCCCTGTGGTAGAGTGGGCAGGGCAGGCTTGGGCGCCATGAGGGCCCACCTGAGCCAGGCACCTCATTCTCTCCCCCTTCGGCTGCAGGGGTGCAGGCCTGCACACACCCTGGGCTGTGAGGTTATCACTAGAACATCTTTCCAGGACAGATGGCAGAGCCGGGCCTGCTAAGCTACATTTCATGATGAGTCATTCTCACACCAAACCTCTGGGGCTGGGGCTCGTATGACATCCTGTATGGGTTGAATTGATGTCCCCCAAATTCATATGCTGAAGCCCCACCTCAGTAAGTGCCTCAGCGTGTGACTGTGCTTGGAGACAGGGCTTTATGAAGGTGCTAAGTTATATGAGGTCATGTGGCTGGCCCTGGTCCAACGTGACTGGTGGATTTGAGAAGCAGGAAGGGGAAATAGTGGCGGAGACACAGAGGAAGACCATGTGAGGACACGGCGAGAAGGCGTCCTCTAGGCCACCCCAGCCTGCACCTTATCTGACTCCGGCCTCCGGAGCTGTGGGAACCAGTGTCCGCCGTTCAGTCCCGTCTGTGGCACTTGGTGAGGCGGCAGAGCAGATGGCACACGCCCTGTCACAGAGGAAAGGCCGGGTTATGGAGACCTTAGGAAACGTATTCAGGGTCACGTAGCTGGCAAGCCACTGGGGTGGGACTTGAAGCCAGACTGGCTGTGCCCAGGCTGCTCCCCCAAGTTCTCTCTCCCTCCAGCCCTGACCTCTCCCAGCACCCCAGGGCCCAGGGTCAGGGCAGGAGGGCCCAGGAGGTGAGGGCAGGAAAGGGATCGCCACCTTCTGCAGCCCAGCTGGCCAGGACGGTCAGGCCCAGCGCCCGGGGCCCTTCCCCGCCACCTTCCGGGCTCCCTGGCCCTCAGCCCTGTGGGGTCCACGCTCTGCCCCTGCCTGGACCCCACCTGGATGGGCCCTCCTGCTGCCCGACCTCACCCAGGAGGACGAGTGCAGGTGAGCCAGGAAATCTGCGGGAGAGACCAGCTCGAAGTCCGCCAGGACCCAGAAAAACGTGTCCTTCAGGCCCTGCAGCACCAGCAGGAGTGACAAAGGGGAGAGGGGAAGAGTCTGAGCCGGCAGGTCTAGGGGACTCCACCTCAAAACACGAATGTACCCCAGTTTCTTCATCTCTGAAATGGAGATGATACTTCTTCACTCAGAGGGCTGTTGGGAGGATTAAATAAGGCACCCTCCCCCACCCATGTCCCCTCCTCCCCTCATCTTCTGCTTCCCCTCACCTCCTTTCCCTTCTCTCCCTCCCCTCAGCCTCCCCTCCCCTCCCCTGAAGAACTGAGGGGTAGATGCTCATAGGTCTCAGGTCCGTGTGTACACACGGCGAGACACACACACCCTGCTTGCACACCCAGGCGCGTACCAGGCACACACTTCCCTGACAACACAGAGCGATAAAGGGGGCGGGGCTGTGCTTCCCCAACACCCAGCTTCTAATCTTCTCTCAGCTGTCAGGCCTGCCTCCCTGAGGGCTGCTGTTGCCCTGGCAACCAACACAGGCTCGGATCTGGAGCCAAAGACCAGCTCCCCCATCACGCAATGCAAGGAGGGGTCTCTCTTGGAGGGCCTTGGCTCCCTCTGGTTTTACGGAGGCTGGGAGGGCAGAGGGTAGTGTGGAGCCCCACTATGGCTGCAAGAAAGGACAGGATTGGGCTGGGGTTAGAGGAGGAGGAGGCCCCCCTCCCTGCCCTAATTCCCCACCACCACCCCCCTGCAAAAAAAAAACACACGCAGGTCCCTCCTGGGACAGGCGATGGGGCAGGCTCTCAGAGAAGAAACTCCCGAAGCCAGGAAAGGCCTGGGGCCGGCCAGGGGAGAGCGG